ACTTCCCCAAATTAGTGTTTTTTATTATCACTACTTTTCCAGAACTCTCGACATAAAATATTGAAATTTTAACTTTTTTGAACTAAACCTATTTCACTAATTTGTACAGTGCAATTTCCACTAAATAAATTAGTGCAAAGAAATCGCTACATGAAAAAGTGAGTATTCACTAATTGCTAGTGGTATACTTATCACTGCGGCAAATAGTTATTATGCACTGTCAATCAGTGAAAATCCACTGTTTCATTTTTAGAGAGTAGTTAACCAAGGATCATTATTCCAAAGGATTGCGCATAATATAGAAATTGTAACGCGTGTATTTCTAAGAGTTTTGCACTGATGCGATATATACAATTTTAAAGTGTAATAAATCCCATTTCTTTCTTTAAAACACTGATTTTCCTGTAATATAAACTCAAAAGAATCGCTCAATTGACAGGTTTAGACCAACAAATTATAAATGTTAATTTTATCGAGCGAAAAAAGATTTTTCATAAAAGGGTTAAATTCATCCGCGGGGTGCAAAGTCACCCGTGTTTACGGTATACTTAGACACTTCCTACATTCAAATGACATTTGATTTGAACATCAAATGACATTTGATTTAATCATCAATATTAACTATTAGTATTATTAAATGTGATTTCGGATAAAATTTAATATGCACCTCGGCATAAAGGTCATTTTTTATCCCCCACGTGGTTATTTCCACATTCATGATAAAAAATACGACTTTACTCCCTTGATACATAAATAACTATATTAAACTATGCAGGCTGTATTTTTTAATTTTTTAATATGTCATTAAATAAAGATTTTAAAGGGGTGTCCCATTTATACGAAAACACCCTGTACAGGTTGTCCTATATAAAAACATGTTATTTTTGTGAATATTTCGGAAACCCGACGTTCAATTTTTTTTCTGTTTTCACCATTTTAATCATAAAAAAAATTTCCACCAATTGCTAATTTAACCGATAGGTAATAAGTTTGTGAGCAGAAAACTTTGGACACTGTGTAAATAACTTAGAATGTCAATTTAAGCTAGATGCACCTGTCCGTCTTTTTAGTAGATGCAAGGAAAAACAATGATTCTTACTTTAATAAAAAAATATTGTGTTTCTTTGGCTATGACAAATTAACGTTGAATAACAAACCTTTTAGTTCTAAGCACTGGTGGCTTAAGAAACTTTATATGTACTTAATTCTTGGGTAATTTAGTATTAGCCTGCGTTTCTCTTAATAATATTTGATTTATAATAGTACCAACATATTTAATAACTATTATTACCACGCGGTTTATTATGACAAAGTACTTAAGTAAATTTACCCGCAAAGACTTTTATTACAACAGTTTCTCCTTAAGTAAATAAACAATAAAAACAGAGAGCACGTATTACGCTATTTTTACAGTACTTTTCCTTTAATTCATCTGAAGAGTCAATGTCGCGTCGAAAATAAAAGTAATGAAAGTAGAAAATAATCCTAGTTTAGCATTTACATATTGTATTGACAGTCTTACTGTTTACGGAGAAGCCGGATTTCTAGTTTGCAATTAAAGTAATCCGTGGAAATAGTCTATGATATAAGAATTTTATTATAGTTATGCACTCGTGTTTGAATTTTAATTGCAATAATGATGCCTTCAATGAATTATTTATGTTTTTAACATTCTTAAAATTTCATTACAAAATAATTTCCCAAGTAACACTAATGCTCTTATTGCGATCTCCAAGGTCGCTTTAAAACTATACAATAAAACTTTGAATAAAACCATAAATAAAACCAAATGATCTCCAAGCCTAAGAACCATTATAAAGCAGCTTCTAGACCTTTAAATTAAAACCTTTGAGTTTTAAAATACTAAAAATTAGGGTTTTGGATTTAAAGTTACATTTTATTGAGCATAATATATATAATATATATATATTTATAGGCCTAAAATAAAATAGTTTTCTTGATGGGTTTCAATGATTACACCAAGGGTACTCCATAAAACCACATTTAAACTATTTGTTCCAAAATGGATTGTTTTAAAACCAACTTGCTATTTAATCCTTTAAAAAAGCAAATTAGTTTTAAAATAGCCAATGTCGGGAGTATTATAAAACCAGTAGGAAATTAAGAGCAAACAGTTTTTTAAATTTTAATTTAAAGAGTAAATTAAATTATTTGCATAAGAATTTAAAACCAATATCATTTTAAAGCGCATTTAAACCCTAAATTGTTACTTACTTACGTTATGGGGGAGATTTCAATTTTTTTACGAATAATAAATACTAATGGGTCCAAAATTGCCTGAATGTCCACATCGTATTGATTAAACTAAGGGAAATGGTCTTACTATAGAATTTTTTTTTTGGTAATAAACCTGCTTTTTCTTTGATCTCCTTATTATTGAAGGAAAGTGCAAAAGTGAAGAAATACTAAAACACCTCAGAATTGGTCATGTGAGCCAATTTTCTAAGATGAGAGGTGATAATGATACTGCTAAACTCGGAATCAGTCTTATTTAAAAATACAATCAGTTATTGACCAATGAAGAGGAACAGATGCAGGATATTTTTGCAATTCACCGGGAACAGTTCCCTAAGCCATCAAAAACATTCCTTATGTAGTAGTTTTTTATTTTAGTATATCATATTATTAATTTTATTAGTAAAATTAATTCAATTATTTATTTATATTATTAATTAAATTTTTGACCACCCTAGTCATGTAAAAAGAAAAGACTTTTATTTCGAATATACCTACATAGTGTAAACCACACTCTCTAAAAGTGAAACAGTGAAATTTTCACTATTTTCGTCAGTGAGTTATTATTCACTGTAAAATTAGTGTTTTTCAATATAAATTAGTGAAATTTTAACTTTTCCAAATTAGTGTTTTTTATTATCACTACTTTTCCGGAACTCTCGACATAAAATAGTGAAATTTTAACTTTTTTGAACTAAACCTATTTCACTAATTTGTACAGTGTAATTTCCACTAAATAAATTAGTGAGTATTCACTAATTGCTAGTGGTATACTTATCACTGCAGTGATAAGTATACCACTAGCAATGCGGCAAATAGTTAATATGCATTGATTGACAGTGCACTGTCAATCAGTGAAAATCCACTGTTTCATTTTTAGAGAGCATAGTTATTGGACACTTAAGGAATATTATTTATTTAAAATTTATATATGCCGTTGTTTTAAAGATTTTAGTTTTTTTCTTATAAATATATAAAAGGATAGTTTGTTTGTTTAAACTTTATTTACGTTTACTTAAAAATAAGAATATTTGAATTTTTAATATTAGTTTTCTAAAAACATGCAAAAAAGTATAGTAATTGGAGATTTTATATAGTAATTGGACACATGGACCATAGTTATTGGACATACAATTTTTATATAAACAACTTTACATCAAATAACATAAATTGTTATTATAAATATTTTTTAAAGATAAATTGCTGTTTAAGGTAATTTTTTTTAGTTCGTTTTTGTAAATATCATATAATTCACATATTTTTTCTCGAATTCCCTTTTCTGGATTCTAAAGGTAACTACCAATTCCTTGGTCTAACTTCTGAAATAGTTTCTTGCAAATATCATTAAGTGTAGTATCTCTAGTTTGTGAAGCATTTATAATGTTTAGGCCGGAACAGGATGATTTATATATTTCTAATATTTTTTCGGGTGGTATGTTTAAAGTATTTTTCGAATTTATTAATTTTGTTGCAATTAGTTTATTTTGTTCTCATGCACTGTATTTAAATCACTGTTATTCTGCAAGATGTCCTCTGGCGAAGAAATCACTATATTACTTACTCTCTAAAAGTCAAAAATGTCATAGCGAAAAAGCAGCCACAAATAATTCTCGTCAACAGCAATTTGTATCCAGGACATTTAGCAGTCAATTCCTAAAAAATATAATTCGCTGAATCCGAAAATGTCATCAAAAGTTATAAAAGTAGAACAGATTTTGAAATATAATCAATTTTACATATAATATGGAATTGACTATATTTCAAAAACTGCTTAACTATTATAGTTTTTTACAGTCTTTTCGGATTCAGGGTACATTTTACATTTTACATAAGAATTGGCTGGTAAATCCGGGATACAAATGGACATATGTCCAATACTAGAAATTTACATTTTTTACTTACCAGTAATTGGACACTGGCCATTTTACTGTTTGTTTTCAGAATTAAAATTAAAACGCATTATAAAATGACTGTTTAAACCATGAGGAACACATTTATACCACAGACTGATCTGTACGCTTTTTAGAAATATTTTTTATTCGTAAGTAATATCATAAGGGCATTTAATTTTTCCGAAAAGAATCGAAAAAACACGTTGCTAAGTAATATTTTAACAAAAAGCATGAGTGCTGGTGGCAACAAAAATCCGAGTCGAAGAGGAGGATTTTTGCACCTGCACGAATGCATTTTGTTTAAAAATATTACTTAGCATTGTGTTTTTTCGATTTTTTTCACAGGAAAAATTAGATGCCCGAATGGTATTTGACAAGACTATTTCATGAGTAACAGTTAACAATTAAAATATAAATTGCAATTTTTGGTGACAACAGCTGTCAAGTTTTGCCGCGGGTAAACTCGAATAAACTGCTGACAGGTGCTGTCACACAGTTTTTTCACCTAGAAACCATTTGTAATTCAAAATTGCGCGTTTGTGATTGGTGGAAATTAAGACGAGGGAAATAGTCTAATTTAAACACAGCCCTGCTCTTGACAAAAAAAATAAAAATCTTACCACCAAAGTAATGTGCGAACTTTTTTGTCCTATATTGGATCCAAAATAAAGTAGTTCTATATTATTACCGACTGAGATATTTATAATTGTATACAGCGTCATTTAATGATTTGACTTTAAGGTAACTATTTAAAATACTCTTGTTTTTACAGTATTAATGTTAAAATTGTCCGATAACTGTCTACTTTACCCTATAGTTAAAAATTTAAAATGTTCTATTTTTTATTTTTAGATCTTTTTCCAAAACACTGCCAAGGCTGCCAATATACCTCCTGTAACTACAAGTAAGTAACTACATATATTTGCATGAAAATCAACGCTTCACAAAACATGTGCATTGTTAAAAATTTACTGAAGTATAACTGATTATTATCACCGTTACCTTGAATCATATACCTATTTTACAAATGCAAACAAATCCATTAATTTCATTAATACCCATTTCTTATTGTTGTCAGCTCCGAAATTTAAATCTGATGATAAATGATGAATACACCGATTAAGAGGTCTTCATTTTTGAGCATACTAATTTATCAAGGTGATTTATCAGTATTTACCCTGTCAAAAAGGTATAAAATATTAAAGCCTTGTTAACAATAATTATTATTTATCATTAATAATAAAATAAATTATGGATAATCAGTCATAATTTTAGGTATTTATTATGATTAACTGCTTTGTTATTAGATTTAATTGCTGGTTATACGTCATTGGTAAAATGTTTATCCCAATTAACAATTGTAAGATACTTTTGATAGTTTTAATGCAGTTTTATAGAGTAGCCTTGATGTACTCATTAAAACCCGTTTATCCTATATGCTCAATAAAATTCCACTTTAAATCCAAAACATAATTTTTACGTTTTAAACTCTTTAAACCGTAAAAATTATAAAAAATTTAGAATTTTAAGCTCAAAGGTTTTAATTTAGTCAATTTGGTTAAAAGAAATGCCTGTTCGATTTTTTCCCACTTTATGTATAGTTGTAAAGCGATCTTAAAGATCGCAATAAGAGCATTAGTGTTACATGGGATGGTTACTAATTTGTATTGTTTATAATGATCAAAAACGCAGGTTTTCCTCATTTGCTTGTCTTATATATTCTCTCTAAAAATAAATTAGTCAAAAATGACTAATTTAATAGTTATTAGTGGCTGCTTTTTTACTTGTACCATGATTAACCATGGAATACCATGGTACCAATTGGAGCAGTTTTAAAATAAATGGAAAATTGACTATATCTCAAAAACTGTTCTACTTTTTTAACTTTTGACGACATTTTCCGATTCAGGGGACAATTTTACATAAGAATTGGCTGTTAAATTTTGGGATACCATGGTTAACCATGGTACAAGTGAAAAAGCAGCCACTAATAATTATTAAATTAGTTTTGACTAATTCATTTTTAGAGAGTTGACAGCCTAAAATACTGGTTGATTATAATAATTATTAAAATGGTCGTGTTCAGCGAAGAGGATCACTTTCATTTTGACATATTTGTCAATATGTCAAAATGACTGCTCCTTTAGGGGGAACCTTTGACAGACCACTGCACTCTCCCGATTTAACCTCTGTTGGATTTGATATACAATATGGTACAAAAAAAATTGAATTAATTAAAGCAAATAATTTATCAAGAAAATCAGTAAAACAATCATTTTTCATACTCATCTTACTGTTATATTTAAACGTATAATAATATGCAAAATAAATGAAAAGTAATCCAAAGCAATCTTAAATATTAATTTATGTATATTTAATAATAACTAATAGCTACTAACACCTCCTTGGTGATGGTATGCGGAACATCGTCAACATTAAAAGCATCTTGATAAAATTTAATTGGTCGCTACGTAGCGTTTAGTTTTAACAGCGAAACGGAGGTCAAGCTTGGAAATATGAGGGTTAATTTGCAAGAAGTAAATAGGAAAAACATGGAAATGAGCAAGTCATGAATCAGATAGTATTTTTAGCGATAAATAATAAAAGATGAGTCAGGGAATATAATTATGTTGCCAAGATCGGAGATCCATTAAATAAGCTTCGTTTTTGAGCTTGAACGGTTGAATTAAGATTGATATAAACGATAAATATTATATTTTAATAAACATACAAAACCTTGTAAAAATCTATGATTTGTAAATATATTTACAAATCATAGATTTATAAGCCTACGATTTTTTTCTTTAAAAGGAAATTTCTTACAAAGTATTAAAATAAAGCAATATCACTCTCATTATCGTGCTATTCGCCTTTGTTGCAACATGTTAATAACTTTATAATAATTTTTTTGGGCTGGAATGGCAAAAAAGTGGCCACCATTTATTTAAAAAAAGTTTCAAATTAAATTATTTTCTCTACTCCCACCTTTAAAACGCCCATTATAGTACATGTTTCCATGACACTGTTGTGTCCTTTTAAATACACATTGATAAGTTATGGCTTATGGCGTTTTAGTCACGGGTTGAAGTTAGTTTTAAGTTAGTTGACAGTTGTCAAATGTCATACAATCGTTAAAATAAAGTGCCTTTCAGGTAAAATAATACTAAATGTGAAAACTATTGTATTAACTCAATACAAAAATACTAGTATTATTTAAATAGTTTCTTGACACCAAAATTTAAAAAGATTTTGTGAACGTTTGTACAGTATGTATTGTACCTTTTGATTTCGCCGTAGTAGTGCATGCAGTTAACAAGATTTAATTGATAAAGCTTTAACAATTTTACGTACAGTGCCCGAATACATTCCCTTCCATTTTACTGTGAAAAACTGGTTCTATATAGATTGTTAGTCTATTTTCAAGTAATAAATTTTGATTTACACAGAAAAATTTGAGATTTTAACGCCGGTATATTTCCAAGTTACAAATTCTAACGGAAATTCCAATAAATACAAATGTTACTTTTTGCACCTCTAACATTTCCCGAGTATGAATTTTTAATAGTTTGTATTAATATTTTGCAATTATAATAATAAAAAAAATCAAAGGATAAAATATTTTCTTAACATAATCCTATTTTGAAGTTATTTTAATATTGAGTATCAATAATTGTAAAGTTGATGAAAATTACGTCAAAAATGTTTATTGGGATGGTTACTTTATTTTCGTGTAATGTCGTTTTATACAAATATTTAATTTAAATAATTTTTTAGATAATATTAAGTATTGGACATTTTATATAGTAATTGGACACATGGACCATAGTTATTGGACATACAATTTTTATATAAACATAACAACTCTACATCAAATAACATAAATTGTTAAAGATAAATTGCTGTTTTAGGTAATTTTTTTATTTTGTTTTTGTAAATAAATATCATATAATTCATATATTTCTTTCTTGGATTCCTCATCCCTTTTCTGGATTCTGAAGGTAATCATTAATTCTTTGGACCGACTTCTGATAAATATCATTAAGTGTGGTATCTCTAGTTTGTGAAGCATTTATAATTTTTAGGCCGGAACAGGATGATTTATATTTATCTAATATTTTTTCGGGTGGTATCTTAAAGTATTTTCCAAATTTATTAATTTTTTTGCCATTAGTTTTTTATGTTCACAATCATGCACTGTATTTAAATTACTGTTATTCTGCAAGATGTCCTGTGACGAAGAAATCACTATATTACTTACTCTCTAAAAATGAATTAGTCAAAAATGTCATAGCGAAAAAGCAGCCACTAACAATTCTCGTCAACAGCAATTTCTATCAATGAGAATTAGCAGTCAATTCTCATAAAATATTATTCGCTGAATCCGAAAATGTCAAAAGTTATAAAAGTTGAACAGTTTTTGAAATACAGGGTGTTTCATAATATATGCGCAGGACTTCAGGATGTGATAGCTCAACCAAAAAGATAAAAAAAGTCGCTATTAACTTACCCTCTAAAATGCACAATTTTCGAGATACAGGGTGTTGGAATTTAGAAAAAAAATCGTTTTTTTCGATTATCTCTGGAACAGCTTTTGTAAGCATTTTCTACTCATAATAAGCTATGTTTTGTGCCAGAAAAATTTTTTTTTTCCTCATAATTGGTGGAGATTTTGAAGGGGTAGCGGGTGTTTTTCTCCTCAACTTCTACGCCCCTGAAAAAAGTACGGTTTCGAGAGGCCCATTTGAACCGCCAATGTTTTCTACACAAAAAAGGTACTCTTGGTCATAAGCTCTAAAGTTGACCGTTTTCGAGAAAAATCAACTTTTATGTTTAAAAACAGGGGGACCATTCCACGCTTAACGGATAGGACAGTTGCCGTGTTTTTATTTACAAAATAATATTGTTCTATTATATTACCAATGTCAAATTTTTATAAATAGTTCTAAACAAAAGCTGTTTAAGAAGGTTTTTATTTGGCAAAAGAACTATTTATAAAAATTTGACATTAGTAATATAATAGAACAATATTATTTTGTAAATAAAAACACGGCAACTGTCCTATCCGTTACGCGTGGAATGGCTCATGATCAATTTTTTGAAAAAAAAATTTTATTACTAATTAAACAAAATTTATTTTAACGTTAGAAAAAGTAACAAAACCAAAGGATAATTGCAAAATTAAAAAAAAAATAAAAAATGATTTTTTACACAAATGCTGAAATGTGCGAAATGCGTTACCTTTTCGGTTTGGAGAATTTAGCAAAGACAACTTTTGAATCATTTTTTATTTTGAAATTATGGTTTGGTTTTGTTACTTGTTGTAATGTTAAAATAAATTTTATTTAATTAGTAAAAAAAAATATTTTTTTTTTAATTGACCATGTTTTTAAACATAAAAGTTGATTTTTCTCGAAAACGGTCAAGTTTAGAGCTTATGACCAAGAGTACCTTTTTTGTGTAGAAAACATTGACGGTCTCAAAACCGTACTTTTTTCAGGGGCGTAGAAGTTAAGGAGAAAAACACCCGCTACCCCTTCAAAATCTCCACCAATTATGAGGAAAAAAAATTTTTTTCTGGCACAAAACATAGCTTATTTTGAGTAGAAAATGCATACAAAAGCTGTTTTTTGTACGATAAACGGTTCCGGAGATATTCGAAAAAAACGTATTTTTTTCTAAAATTTCAACACCCTGTATCTCGAAAATTGTGCATTTTAGAGCGTAAGTTAATAGCGACTTTTTTCATCTTTTTGGATGAGCTATCACATCCTGAAGTTCTGCGCATATATTATGAAACACCCTGTATAATGAATTTTACATATAATATGGAATTGACTATATCTCAAAAACTGCTTAACTTTTATAGTTTTTGACGGTCTTTTCGGATTCAGGGGACAATTTTAT